TAAACTTAATGGATCGAATTTTTTCTCACTTAATAGTTGTTTGTGACATTTATAATGGTTATAAACAAAAAAATTATTTTTTGAAAATCCTGGGCGAGACAAAAAATGATTTTATTGACTTTCCTTTTTTCACAAAATTATGTGATTTGGAAACTCGATTAGTATTGACCATCCAAAAACTTTAGAAAATGATTAACTTCGTTTTAGTATTTTTTTTTTCTGTCGAACACTGTTAATAATATTGTATATATGTGTAATTTGTTTTACAATAGGGAATCCTGAAATGTCGCCTCTTCCAGATAATATATTCGAACCGACATCTTCACCATCTGATGACGAAATTGTTAACAGTAAAACTGATAAACCTGAAATTAAACCTAGAATGCTTTATGCATCAGTAAATGCACCATAAAATAAAAAAAATAAAACAAGTTTCCAAGCATCGATGAATAATTATTAGAAAGCTTCTTCTAACTTGGACTCGGAACCTAATATAATAAAATACATAATTAATAAAATGTTACTTTTTACGTCTAATCTTCCTTTAATGTAATCTTATAAGTATTAAAATATTTTGCTGCACTAATCTAACTATAAAATATGGAAATGGCTATGCATTTATGATTAAATTATGTTTGAGAATTTTACTAATTGTAAGTGATGTAAAAGACAAGCTTATGTAAAATTTAAATAAAAAATTAATCGGTATAACATTGTTTTCAATTTTATTTTATTCTTCACACGTATATAAAACTATTATAATAAAATTATAATTACTTTAATGAGACACATTTGTTATCAAAAGATATATTACATCCAAAAATATTTATACTTGTACGACATAAACCACAGATTATAAACTATGTAACTATATACATTTACTATACTAAAAATAAAAATCTAAAAATAATTCTACGTCTGCGCTAGATATAAAAAAATATTGTTATATTCACAATTTATTCTTTAGATATAGACTACAAAATATTTTTTTAGTTATCTTTTTCGCTATCTAATCAGGCTTAATCTCTCATCACTCTACTTCTAAGTAGATAATTGAACTAGTTTACGAAACATTGCGTTAATAATTTTGGATAATATTCAATAAAATATTCAGTTAATTTAGACCCTTTTCATTAAGTACCCTATTGCAGCTTAAATACAAAGGTTACTTGTGATGTATCTCAGAAATAAAACTGTAAAACTTATGAACGTTTTCGATATAAAGGTTATGCCATTAGTATTAATTTATCATTATTTTTTAATCTTATGTTAAATTATTGCCACATTTCAAACCGGATAAAGACAATCGGCTACAATTGCAAATGATAATAACATAAAATAGTCGTCAAATGATAAGCGACTTATTAAAAGTAATTAATCGCGACAACAAAATAAGCGCAATGTGTTTAAAATTAAATAGAAATTTCTGGAAATGAAGTTGATGAACAAATTGAAAAAAATTATTAAAATTTTTAATAGTACTTTTAAAATTTGATTGTGTATTAGATAGTTAAATAAAAAACAATTGAGAAAAGTAATTTTATTTTTGGTCGAAACAGATTTTGGTGTTTAATAAATAATATTCATATGCAAATTTTTGCAGATAAATTCAATTTTATAAATTGCGCGCCAATTCAATTTGTCGCACTTGAAACACAATCGCAAACTGAATTTAAAATATTAATATTTCAAATTAGATTGATCAATTTAATAATAATGCTAATAAGCATCTTAAAAAATCTACAAAGAACTTATTGTGAAAAATATCACTTGAGCTAGAATTTTAAATTTCCGACTGTCCAGAACAGGCGTCATACCAATTCTACCGAAACACGTGGAGACATAGTTATCGCAATAAGTGTATAGTAATTAGTAAGAAAACGTCATTTTTTCAAAGAGATTCTAACCACTGTTAAGGTGATATTTTTTATAACAAATTTTTTGCAGGTTTTTAAGATGCTTACCTAGCATCATTATTAAATTGAGATTCAATATAATTTGAGATATTAATAGTTCAGCTTCAGGTTGCGATTGCGTTTCAAGTCCGACAAACTGAATCGTCGACTTTATAACCACATCGATTATAAAATCAAAAATATATTTGCAAAAATTTGCATATGAATATTTTAAGCCAAGATTTATTTTTATCAAAAATAGAATGATTTCTCTTAATATTATATTCTCATTGGTCTAATTTCTAGTTATAAGTTATAATTATTAAATATAAAATATAACTTTTACGAACTTTGTATTATGTTTTAATGAAAATATTCAAGTTATGCATTAAAGTTATGTATGAATTATGATTTAATTTTAATATTAGGTGTTGGAATTAATTCGTAGCGTTTTTTAATGAAAGAATGTTATTTATTTCACATGAGCATTAAAAAATACATTAATGAAAGTACTTCCCATCACTTGTAAAACGCTACGAATTAATTCCAACACCTAATATTTATTTTGTAATAAATTTTAAACGCATTCAGTACACATTAAAACCGTCGTAAAACTTAAAAATATGTTATAATCCATTTTTATATTCATATTTTATATATATATATAAATTATGAAATCCTCAATATATTTCATTGTTCTATTAAATAAAATTTGTATAATAATTCGAAATATTTGCATTTTATTTTTACACAGATTAAATTAGTGTACAACGACTTCAATATGCACTAGTGCGCACTATAACAATTAAATTTGCTATCAATTTGCTTAGAAATAAGATATTACTTTGAAAAAGTTTTAAAATTTTTTACGCAAATTTACATATTTCTTTGTACACGTGTGTACATACAAAAGAGTAGTACTTAAGACGAAAGTTACTTCTTATTGTTATTAGAAGACTCATAATTTGCTAGTAATTTAGATATCGAATATTCTGTAGTTACATAATTTACAATACGTTTATGTAAAATAATAATATAATTAATATAATAACAATTGTGTATATAGTGTCTCATTTTAATCAGTCAATTTTCTCCAAAATTATTGATAATACAAAAAGACAGTTTCAGACGAAAATAAAACGATTTCGAGGAAATATTTTGATCTCCTTTTTTTCTAGATGAAGACTTCAAAAAAATATAATATGAAAATCATTTTTATTTTTTAAAATAATATTGTCCATTTTTCGAACATCTACAATATAATTGTAGCTCATCTCAAAACAAATACAATGATCATGGACAAAATCATTCAAGTTTCAACTGGATATGAAAAAATTGAAATACAAAATTTATTTTCTATATACGAATGTGTTCTCACGAGTATTAACTAGAAATTTTGAAAAAAAAATTTGTTATCGATGCTACATAAGAACTCAAAATTATCGTTTTTTGCTCTTTGATGTTAGTTTCGAAAATTGACATGATAGCCAAATTTGAAAAATAAATTTGTACTCAGCAAGCAAAAAGATATTAAAAAAACAATTAATGTTAGAACAAGTTTTTTGCAGGCTAGCTCTGTTGTAGTCTTATTTTGAACTTGACATCAGACAAAGGCAATCGTTTGTAACTGTAGATAGTAATAATTGCAGTGCGCATACAAAATAGTCACCGCCAAACGATAAGCGACTGGTTAAATAGTGGTTAAATGCAGGCAATTAACCACAATGATGATAAAGATAGGTGCAACACAGTGCATTTTATTTGCTGACAATACGAACGCGTGTCCAATTATTAGTCCCAATAATGATCGGCATAGCGCTTTACCATTCTGCATGGAATATTTTGTTATATAACGTTGAGTCATAACTCAATGTTATATAACAAAATATTCTACCTTGTCCGCTTTCAAATATATTTGGAATATTTGCCTAAAATTGTATAATTCGCTATTGTGACTCATAGTCATATATGCTTTAATTTATTTTTTATTTAATCAATTATTAAATTGTCACATCTGCATTTATCTCATGATAAAAATATTTTATCATAAAATCAATTTTGCATAAATTCATAAAAATGTTATAATTTCTTTTCAATAAGTCATAAATCGAGAGTGATGTATGTTATAAAGATCAAATTAAAAATTAGTAATTGTTTAATAATAATTTTGGGTGAAATAATATATATATATATATACGACATCCCAACAATTCCATTTGACCACTTCGGCAAATTCAGCCATTTGAATTAAATAACATTTTGAGATTTTTATTTATTCATATTTATAATAAAAATAACTTCTGTTTTCTATAAGAAATTTAATATTTCAAAATATCAAAATTCAAAAATCGTTATTTACGACATAACTATTGCAAAACCTGTAACGAGTTAGATTGTAGAATCTATGATGGCCCAACTATTACTGAAGCAGGTCCACTTACAATGGATCCAACACAGCTATGGGCTTCACAACCAAAATGATTACAATCGCAGTACTTGATACGAGTACAGTGACAGTAAATAAAATTGATGCATCCACAACAGCCACAGTGAAACAAGTTCCACAATGGCTATACGATTTTCTAAAATATCCAATCACGTTATGTCCGAAATTTCAAACGACAGAGTAACGTTGAAATTCTAAATTAATCGAAATGATTATCATAACAATAGTGCCGAAAATCTGTGTAGAATAAGAGGATAGTTAAAATACATAATATTTAATATGAAATTGTTGCCTATATTTTCGTTCATTCTTACAAAGATTTCAAAATTGATAATATTAAATAATATTAAATAATATTTAATAATATTAAATCAAAAGGAGAAACAACAATTAATACGTAGAGATATATTCATCAGATATTTTTAACAATAAAGAAAAGATTAGATTAGACTTTCTTTATTTATCCTTAAATTTCCTACGTACATTATATAATTATTTAATCACACATGTACACACACAGAAGAATATATATTTAGTTATCGCTGTTGCAGTGACTCTGTATATAATTTTCTAGTAATTTAGATATCGAATATTCTGTATTTATTTTTATTTACTCTGTTATTCTCTTACATAAGATATAGATAATAAGTTAACATGAGTATATATAGTTCTTGCAACTGAGTACCATACAATAGTAAATATCCCTATTTACACTTCAGAGCTACCTTCTTACAATCCTCTTAGAATATATTGGGTAAATATTTTTGAAAATATATTATACCAATAGTTTACGCGTAAATGTTTAATACATAATAATGTATTACAATTTTGCTCTATTTCTCATAGTTTTTATTAGAATATCAAGGAAAGAGATACTGAAGAAATCCATAACGATGGCTTCCTTAAAATACGTAAGTTTTATTCAGTAATGGTTGTTTAACTATCGCTTACAATTTTTGTACATTAATAACGTCGAGGTCAATTGAAAAAGTTTTTGAATATTTATAATTTTTTAGAGTTTCTTTACACACACACACACACACACACACACAATTAATTTTTGTCTCCTTCGAAATATTCTCCTTTTTAGTCGATATCTCTCTTTTAATCGAGGAGGAGAGAAGAGCATTTCAAAGAGCATTTTCGACAAGATTAACTAAATTATACAAGGTACGTCCCAAAATTTTCCGAACTTTTTCAATAGGGATAGGTCGGGTGGCGCCATCCGTGTGTTCGATTGCGCGTTTGAAAGGTACATCCCTAGCTGACTTCCAGTAAAAATTTCATGACATTTGGTTCAGTGGAAACGAAGTTATGGCGTCTCAAGTGTCAGTATGTTGTATACATCGGTACGAGAATGAACTTCGAACAAAGAGCCAATATTAAGTTTTGTTTTAAACTTGGTAAAACATTTACCGAAACCCATAATTTGATGAAACAAGTTTATGGTGATAATTGTGTAGCCCGTGCCAGTGTTTATGAGTGGTATACGCGATTCAAGAACGGTCGTGAGGACATAAATGACGACGCACATACAGGTCGCCCAAAATCGACAATTAACGAAAATTCCATCGAAGTTTTTATGATTCCAAGGGTATTGTGCACAAAGAATTCGTTCCAGCAGGCCAAACAGTTAATGCTGTATTCTATGTAAGCGTTTTGAAGCGTTTGGTGCACCGCATTCGTCGTATTCGGCCAGAATATCGCGAAGGAGGAAGTTGGCGCTTGTTACACGATAATGCGCCATCTCACCGTTCGACACTTGTCACTGATTTTTTGACTAAAAATCACATTTTAACAATCAACCATTCCCCGTATTCGCCTGATATGGCACCTTGTGACTTCTACCTATTCGGCAAAATGCATTTGTCCATGAAAGGAAAGCGGTATGTGGACGTAGAAGACATCCAAAGGGCTTGTACCACTATTCTGAAGGACGTACCTTTGAACGACATAAAATACTCATTTGAAATGCTTTTAGATCGTGCCAAACGTTGTATTGAGTTCGACGGGGACTACTTTGAATAAACAATTTGAATTTGAAAAAAAAAGTAAACCGTTGTTGTTTTATTTCAAAAGTTGGGAAAATTTTGGGACGCACCTTGTAAATATACGCCTCAGAAAATTATAAAGGCTAAATTCACAAACTTTTTAAACAAAATCACACTTTTGAAATAAATATGCTGTGTATTAAAAATTTCAGGTCGTATTTTCCTTATTAATAGTGATGTTAGCGCTTCATTATGCTGAATCTATGACAGTTTCATCACAAGATGAGATTGACGAGATAAAAAAAAGTATATCTCTATGATATCTATTAAATATACATCTACAGAGTATCCCAAAATTCGAGGGAAATGTTAAACTTCATGAACAATTAAGTAACAAAAGTATAAGTCACTTTTTCCGCAAAGCAGTTTTTTAAATATAAATGTTTAAAGTTTGACTAATCATAAACGTCACATGGGCAAACTTTTTAACTTATGATTAATAAAATTTTAAACGGTTATACATAAAAAGACTGCTTGACGAATAAAATGGCTTATGTTTTTATTATCTTGACGGAAAAAATAGCTTATGTTTTTATTATCTAATTTTTCACAAAGTTTCGCGTTACAATAATATTATCTTCCAATTTAAGGATATCCTGTATACTTACAATAGAAAGTATATCAATTACTAATATTGATTTATTTTGTAGGTTTAAAAAATCCAATTAAATCAACTCCAAAACCAGAAGATTCAGGAAAAAGTTCAGAATGTAGCTCATCAAAGTCAAATGAAGAAATAAAACATAAAAAAATGGAACCAGATACACAATGTGAGTCAGGTAATACAGAAAAACCAAATGTAAAAAATGACGGAAAGGATAAAGGAGATAAAGATGATTTAAAGAATGATTTAAAGAGCAAATAGACACCAACTGGTACAATATAAGAACCAGAAGAAAAGAACCAGAAGAACCCGCCTTTCCAAATGACAACTAAAGAAATATATAAGTCCTTGATAAATAATTATTAGAAAGCTTATATTCTAATTTGGAATATAAACTAACTAAGAAAATATTATTTTTGTTTCTAATCTATATCTTTCTTTAATGAAATACTATAAATATTAAAATAAGCATTAATCTTTCACTAAATAAAATATGATTATTTATAATATAAATGCACTTATAATTAAATAATTTAAAAAAAAATTAATAACGACCTAATTGTAAAAATAAAATAAAAGATTTAGCAGCAAAATATTTTTCTTAATTTTATTTCGTTTTACATAATAAAACTAATTATTATGATTAATTCATCTAAATATGAGAAGCGCCACTTGATGGTCAAAGTTAGATGTTGAGCTAATATATATATACGTGTTCTTTAAATAGATTTATCTCATAAATATGATTGCGCGCCATTACTATCAGACTTTCAACGCATCTATCTGAAACATTAATCATCTCTCACAAATTTAATCTTAAAAATCTTATTATTATTACAATTAAATTATAACATATAAACTATAGATCATAAAAAAATGCTCAAGAATTATATAATCATTAATATATATATATTTAATATTAAAGCAGATAATATAGAATCGCGAAAAAAATCAATATTACTAAGATTAGTCCAAGCGTATTTTTCAAGATGTCTTTAAGCTTGATATTCCAAACTTATCTCAATGATATATTCTTCGTGCAGTGATACTACAATACATTATTCAACCCAGAAAAAATTAGTGATATCGTCTCTTCATAAAATAGTGCAAATACAACATTCGATTATAAGTCCAATAGGTCCAATATTTATTCATACATCAGTATAATAAAAATTATTAAAAAATAACAATGTCTTCTAAAAAGGATCAATGTTATACTATTCATTTGTAAAATATACAGTACGCTGTAAACTATTTTAAATAAGAAATTAAAAACACTAAGCAATTTCAATTAAGAAACACTAAATAATTTCAAAAGGAATCAGTCAACGATACATTATTATTTATTTTACTATTATTAGTATCACATGATACTCTTTCTGTATTGACATAAGACAGCTTATGATCAGTTTTTAAAGAATTTATATTTGTTGTACAAAACCATATTTCTGTATGCGAAGAGTCGTCTCTGAAATAATAATCTGTGCGCCTCTGAAATAGTGATGAACATTGTCATAACTTTCGCGGCCATAAGAACTAAATACAAAAGAACTAAATACGAGCATACAGATGATAATGCGCTGGTAATATTATATAAGCCGGCGTCTTGCCTTCGTCTGAATGTGGTTAAAAATAGAGATTAAAGGACAGGAATGCGTAAAATGTCACAAAACAAATGCGCATTGAGCTAACAAGACGGAAAAAAATCCTTCAATATTTGCGCGAACGCCTATTCCCTTTAGAGAGAGTAATTGGTATGGCATTGAGGCAATTTCCGACGATTACCGGAGGAGATGGACAGGTATCATCGCGCAATAGAGACCTCGGTATCAATGGTGATACAATGGATTGCGAAATAGAGGTCGTTGACTGGCCGAGTCAAACTCTATTAGCTCTTAAAATGTATTATAAATGTTAAAATAATAGCTCTTGACTACTCAAATGTTATTCGTTTGACAATCCTATGGTGCATAATAAACTGTCAACATAACTAAAAATTCTTGTTTCTTTAACATTAACTCGTTTTTAATCAATTTTAATATAATTTATAGTAAGATGTTAAATTTATCGAGAATGTATGAGAAAATGTTAATTTCTTGATAAACATTTTTCTTTTTAACGTTAGAAAAAAAATTTTCCTTTAGGAGTACTATATTTTAATTTACCGTGGACGTATCATATATATTTATATATAAACGAGCTGTAGGAAGAGGCAACAAGCAAAAAATTCCGTTCCAAAAGTGTAATACGTTTATTGTTATTATATGTAATGTTATATTATACGAAACTTTTTGTTATGTACACATATATAAGAAATATAATAATGAGAAATATGCTGTACGACAAAGATCATGATGGAGATCGTAATCGAGATGTGTGTCTAAGATATCATTTTCAGAGGTCTTTAGTTCATGTAGTCAGATGACGTGAATTACCAGTGTACAGAATATGATGGATAATATCATTCATGCATATCCACCGCAGCAATGCTGTCGAATGGGCCAGCGATCAGAATTGGAGTTGTGATAGATTCAACGAGAGCCGCTGAATGTATAGTAGTATAAGAAATATAAAGAATATAATTTCTTTATTTGAAATACACACAAAATAAGGGACATGCGCATTTTCAATGTTCTAAACATAAATGTAATGATTCTTTAAAGAAAACTTCTTATATATTTAAATTGGCAAATTTGAAATAAACAAATAATTATACAAAAAATGTTTTGTGTAAATTTATACAACAACTTAAAATGATCGATTGAGACAGAAAAATTTAATTATTTGTAAGAGTCGTTTATATATTTATTACGAATGCGTACTTTGATCGCCAGATGAATTTGACTATAATTCCATTAACAATCGTAACTGCTGGTGCGACGATCGCTCTCGCAGACTCAACTACAATACACGACGTAATAATATTTTGAGATTACTATTTATTCATATTAGCAACAAAAATAATTTCTATAAACTATAAAAAATTTAATATTCGAATTACTTAAGATTAAAAGTCGTTATATGTAACAAGAACCACAAAATCTGTAACAAATCAGATTACGGCCGCGGAATTTGTAGGTGACTCAGTCACTGCTGCTGAAGCAAGTTATGGGTCCTGCAATGGACCCAACTATTGCAGTTACGGAAATTACAAGTCGATTACAATCGCAGAACTCGATGCACGTTCGACGACGGCGACAGAGGGTAAAATTGATGCAACCGCAGGTACAACAGGTTTTGCAACAGCCGTTTTCTG